GAATGCACATTGTTCTAAAATAACCGTTTAAGTATGTTTAAGTATATAAAATGCATTGAACCGATCGTTTGTGGTTAAACAGCATCTGTCATCGGCGTTGTTATGTGATAATTAATAACAATTTACATTTTAGTAAATTTGCAATTTACTTTCACTCCTTCTACTCGTATACTCATCAGATTTAGTTATAATAATGTTATTTACTAAATTATCACGAATATCGACTAGATTTGTAATATTTTTTGAAAAATACCGTAACAAAAAGGAAACCCGAAGATAAAGTTTAAAAATACCCATATTTTCGGCAGTATAAATATGTATTAACATACAGATTTCTCTATGTATTACTTTTCAATACATTATAAGATTCATGAGTTTATAAAGAATGTACCTAATAATTTAGGGAGATATTAATTTTGAATGCAGTCTTTATAATCATTACTACCTTCACATCTTATAATATTTCAAATGTTTCATGTTGAAATAATGTTTATTTTATTTATTGAATAGGAATTGAAGATGCGTTTTTGATATTAAGAATATTATTATTAAACATTTTATATGTATGTTTCAGTGTAAGGTATATGTAAACTATTAAATTGCCTAATATAAATAAAAAAAATCGGAAAATAATTAAACGAGCAGTCTTTGTTACTATTGCCTTATTTAATTATGTATAAAATAGAAGGAGAACCTTTTCTATAACCTACCAATGTTGTGTAATGTTAATTATACTTAAAATATTATTGACTCGAATGGCAAAAGAAAGTTGTGTGAAACGGGACGGCACCGTGTAATCTAACCATCTGACCGGCGGCATGGTCGGACGCGCTGCGCGTGCGCCGACGTTCACGCCTCCGACCAGTAGGGGAGTAGACTTTGTAATTATCAGAATTCGCCGTTCACGCTCCGTTATCCTAGCTTTACTATGCGGGGAAATTGTTTCGTAAAATAATAATTCATTTTAAACTGCTCAACTTACGAAGCACGAAGATGTAGGTAGTAAAGATGCAATGATACTGAGCAAGCCACGTCTGTTATTCCTTACTATAAAAAATTGTCCCCTCCCATCAATCCCAATCTAACGGGATCGAATTTACAGTAATAGAACTTCAGACTCATAACCTTGGATAAAAGTCGTACCCATTACACAGGACTCGGCCTTCAGCCACCATCGGTGACAGGCAGTCTTTCCGAAGCTTTGGTTTGCCAATTTGTCCTTCGTCCCCCTATTTTTGTCTAATGAAACTATAAACATAACATTTGAAAAGTTTAAGAAATATAATGAAGTAGACTATGTGTAAAATTCTCTATTCCACCTTATATAACTATCAAGCAGCTTGCTACCTAAGAATTTTGAATAGTAAAATAGTTTTTTTTTTATTCTACCGCTTATTCGGTATATCAGTTATTTAGTACCCGTAACACAAGCTTTAGCTAGCTTAACTTGGGACGGCGCTGTGTGAATTGTCAAAAAAATATGTTTGTAACAGACAGCGTTTGTATCTGTCTCTTTATATCGTAATGCGATAATATGTTATTTTAATACTTTGTGGACACTGTTTAACTGTTTTCAGTTACGTGTGTTCATATTGTATTATTATTATTATTAGTATCTAAATAAAAATAATCTTTATTCAAATAAACTCATTACAAGCACTTTTGAATAGTCATATTTTGATTCTACCACTCATTCGGAATGCAGATTCATCACAAGAAGAATAAGCAAGAAACTTGTGTGTTGCTCTTTTAAATATAAGAATATGACAGTGAAATTACTCTCTCTCCTCATGCTGCAAGCGCCATAGTGAGCTGTCATCATTCATAAAATAAATAGATGCAATTTGAATATGAATTGAGTAAGCATCATTTATTATATTTTAATTAAAGCTTTACAAATAAAGTAATCATGTCGCCCCGCGATTGTAGATTAAATTTAAAGAACATAAAATTTATGTCACGTACCCTGGATTCTTTGATTAGTCGCGCGTATGATAAAATCTGATTCAGTGTGAGAGTGTATGTGCGAGGATTAATGATGAGGGGCATTAATTAAAAAAGTATTTCATAATGACACGGGAAGATTGAATAACGATACGCGTTCATAACATTGCTTTCAGTTATACAGACGCCATTAAAAACCATTATATTATATTATTAAAAACCATTATATTATATTATTAACGCAACGCAATTTATTATTATATTATTAAACAAACGGTTGGTGTTTCTTATTTGATTGTTTAATGCCAATTCATGCTATGATATTTATTTATCTATATAAAATTCTCATGTTACAGTCTATGCAACAAAACTCCTTCGAAACGACTTGACCGATTCTTATGAAATTTTGTGTGGATATTTAGTAGGTAGAATAGGACGTAAACTGTATTTTCAGATCTCTAAGTGATAATGTTGATCCAGTACATAATATTGTTTGTCCTACTATTGTTAAAATCCGTTTAACTACAATAATAAAGCTATTCTGAAGTCAATTTCTTACTGTTTGACAAATATGTTTTCACTCAAATACAGTTGCGAAACTATGCATCCCGTATATCACAAGAGTTTCAAACACTCAAGTTGCAGAGCCAATCTCTTTCAGTAAACACACGGACCGTACATACGATCCGAGCTTTTAGTAAATGCAATATTTTACGTAGCTCATTGTATTGCATACTTGGGACCAACCCCGCTGCGTACAGTCTCATAAAATGCATTTTTTTACATATATTTTGTGTAATGTATAGAATATGTCAAGGAATCGAACCGGCGACAATTGAAAGTAAATATGGCGGCTTACATAACCATCTAGATCACCGAAGTGTCATATTGGAAAAATTGACTTGGTGAACAATATTTCGTAGTCGCAATATAAGCGGACCATATATATAAATTTCATAATAATATAATATACAAATAAATATATATAAATATTATATATAAATTCCAGTGTTTTGACTATTGTTTAGGTTAGACTATATATATATGTACCATAACAAAGATTTTGTAGCTAAACGGCATAGATAACAGTGAAAATATGTCCGCCCATTGTGTAAATTACAAATTTAAATGATCACAGCTTTAGTGTAGCCTGAACATGTGGCTTTTAGTCGCACGTGGTTTTTTATAGTTTTTTGTATTGTTACTATTGTATTTAATTTTAAATGTGTGCGTATTCGCTGTTCCGGCACCAAAATCGGTCACCGACATGTGCAGGAATTGTCGGGATATAGTTTATAGACGGCCGACGCGCACAAATCGGCGGGGATAAGTGGGGAAGGACGCGCTCGGGCGCCCGTAAAATTTTTATATAGGCGGAAATAATTTATTGTTGGTTCTCGATCGCGCTCTCTTACGCATACGCCACCGACGAAGAACCACCGCCGGCGCAACGACCAAGAAAACCCCACTCCGGCCGGCCGACCCATAGAATAAGAAACAAATTGAAATACAGTCCACATATTTTGAAAATCGAAGACCTTTTAATTGTGTACCCCACAATTTTGTGGTCCATCGCAGCCGCATATCAAGACCGAAGATCACCCAACGGTGCGACGAATCGCCGTGGAAGATCACCCAACGGTGCGACGAATCGCCGCGGAAGATCACCCAACGGTGCGACGTACCTCGCCGAGGAAGATCACCCAACGGTGCGACGCTAGCAGCTTACCGAATTTAGCTGCCGTCGTAATTGAAAATAACTATGAGGGTGCAGCGTTAGGATAGGATAAATAACGTCTACGCCATATAGGATAGATAACGTCTCAAGCGGTGTGTCCGCGGCTCACATCTCTTACCAAAATAACGGTGTCAAACGGTCGGAGTGTGGGTTAACGCCATTGAGCGGTGCAGTGGGTGGTGTGTCACTGCCGGTTGTTGCTTGTTACCGTGGCGCAACCGAATAGCACTATTACGCCTGTACGTGTGTATCGTATAGCAATTTTTATCGCCTAATCTCTGGGGGGGCCGGACTGTAGGCACTGCCAAAGGGGTCGGAAAGTCCGAACCGGCCCTGAGCGCCCCGTCTGTACATACGCACCACTGCGGGGTAATTCCTATATATATATATATATATATATATATATATATCCTGAGGGATTGTTAGGGACGGTTAGGTAGGTAGGGACCGGTAGGTTAGGGGCTTGCAAGTGCCAGAACACGATGCCGACTACGAGAAGCCAAGCCCCGGGAGCAGAGAAAAAGACCACGCGGGAAAATGAACAGACAGAAGCGTCCCCTTCAGAAACCACGCAGATGTCCGCGTCCGCCGCGCCGTCGAGCGCGCCACAGGCACAAGCCGCCCGCGCCGCGTTTACCTATATATATATATATATAGCACCGGCGCCACCGTCGCAGCCGCCGACGACAGATGTACGTCCGGCCCGGGCCGCGTCGGTGCGATCGCGCCGCTCCACCGCTAGCGGTATAGCTAAATTAAAGAGGCTGGAGTACGAGGCAGCGCTACAGATGGCGAAATTACAGGCTGATTTAATTAGAAAGAAGTTGGCAGCCGATGTCGCCGCGGTACATGAAGAGACCGATAGAGATAGCGTGTGCTCCGAGGAAGGTGCCGGCCTGCAACGTATAACGGATTGGTTTCAACGTACCGAAGTACGGGGGGAGCAGAGAATTAATTCCCCACCGCCTACGCAGAAAGAGCCAACAGAAAGGCAAGCTTCACCGCCGAGGACGCCGAAGCAAAGACGGAGGTCCCCCGCTCCTGAAGCCGGGATGCAAGAAGGATTCACCCGGCTGGCCAAAGCTATTGAAAGAGCTGTGGACGAACGAGCGGATAGGGTAGCGCCGAGGCAAGCCCAAGATCTCCCGACCTTCAGCGGCGAAGCAAGTGAATGGCTAGCGTTTAAAGCGGCCGTAGACCAGTCTACAAAGACGTACAGGATCACACCAGCGGAGAACCTGGCCAGGCTGAGGGCCTGCTTACGTGGAAAAGCGAGAGAGACAGTCGAACCGTATCCGCTACAGAACCGTCGCAGATCATGAGGACGTTGGAGCAGCGGTACGGCCGGACAGAGGCCATCATCGACCGCGCCCTCAAAGATCTGAAAAGGATGCCGGTAATAGGAACGTCGACAACAGAGGTGATTGATTTCGCCATTAAACTACAGAACATCACCACCATCGTCGCGGATATCGACAGGGGGGCGAGATTCCTACATAATCCCGCGCTTGAGAGTGAAGTGTCAGAGAAGCTGACCCCTCACTTACAGGTCCACTGGTGTCACTACGCTGAAAAAAACAAGGAGGACACTAGACCTACGATCATCAAGATGGCAGAGTTTTTAATGAGCGAAGCCGATCTCATGACCCGACATCTGCGAATAGCATCACCAACGAGACGAACGAGCGCGCTACCCACGAAGCAGCCCCCGAAGCAACCCACTAGGCAACCCATACCGAAAGCAACGATGTCGGCACCTCGGCGACAGATGACGGATCGTGGCGCGGCCGTATACGCCGCCGTAGAAAAAAGCGAACAGAGTACCGAATGTCTCTGGTGCGGCGCCGCACACGTAACGCCGAAGTGTAAGAAGCTGAACGACATGTCGTTATCGGACAGATGGGAGTGGGCGAAAACAAATAAGATGTGCTTCCAATGCATGAACAGCACGCACAGAAGGTTCAAGTGTAAGGCACGCAAATGTGGTGTGAGAGAGTGTCGTAAGCCACACCACGCCCTGCTGCACCCCCCAGAAGAACCGCCGAAGCGGCAAGAGGACACCGCGATTACAGCCGCAGCACGCTTGCCAGAGAACAGCCAAGTGTTGTTAAAGGTGTGTCCCATCATCGTGAAAGGCAAGACGGGACGCGAAGTAGAGACGTACGCGATGCTAGATGAAGGCTCGACGGTTACACTCATCGATGCGGAGATCGCAGAACAGATCGGAGCCGAAGGTTATTTTTCTAAAATATATATAAGTTAAATTACCGACGCGATCTCTGAGAATTCAGGGTGCAGCCTCGAGCTGGCACGAAGCCTCAAGCCGAGTGGCTGATGTCATCATCAGAGGGCGACACCATACGGACGAAGAACACTCGGTGAGGGCGCGTACGATCCGGGATCTCACCCTAGGAACGCAGCGAGTGAACCCGGAAATACTCGCGTACGGACACCTGCGACAACTCACTTGCGAGCAAGTGTGCTACGAAGATGCCAGACCCAAGGTCTTGATCGGGTCAGACAACTGGCATCTGATTGTTACGCGGAAGCTGCTCATAGGAAGGCACAATCAACCCGCAGCGTCGCTGACACGACTGGGATGGGTCATCCACGGAACGGTACCCAGAAGTGTCGTGGAAGACGAGGAACATGTCCTCCACGTGCGGTTGACACAGCGCAACGCCGAGCCAGACATGCGGCATATAGAGGGCATAATAAAAGCGCATTACGACATCGACGCGTTGGGTATATCGTCGAAGAGATTACCCATCGCTAAGGAGGAGCGCGCCGTCGCCACATTCAACCGCACAGCGACGAGAGTGGATGGGCGATACGTCGTAGGATTGCCGTGGGAGAGAGATAACGTCGCTCTACCTCCCAGCTACGACATGGCAGCGAGCCGACTGAGGGGAATAGAGCGGCGGATGGATCGCTCTACGGAATTCCGGCTGGCGTATACCGCGGAGATAAACAAGTTGTTGGACAAGGGTTACGCCGAGAAAGTAACCGACGACCGGTTCAACAACGACCGCGCGTGGTACCTTCCCCATTTCGGAGTGACGAATCCGAATAAACCCGGAAAGCTGCGACTCGTATTCGACGCCGCGGCCCGTTCGAAAGGAATGTGCTTGAACGACGTACTGCTGGATGGGCCAGATATGCTACGGTCGCTTAACGGTGTGTTATACCGTTTCCGCGAGAAGCCCGTAGCTATCACGGCGGATATACGAGAGATGTTCCTGCAGATTAAGATACGGGAAGAAGATAGAGCAGCACAACAGTTTCTGTGGCGAGGAGATGACAGGATTAACCCGCCGCAGAAATACGTAATGACCTCAATGATTTTCGGGGCGAGGAGCTCACCGTTCATCGCACACAGCGTTCGAGACAGGAACGCGGCAGAGCACCGAGAGTCGCACCCGTCAGCGTACACCGCCATAACAAGGAACCACTACATGGACGACTGGGTCGATAGCTTTGACTCCGAAGAGGAAGCAGCCCGCGCCATACGAGAGGTAGTAGAGGTTCATGGCGGGATAGGATTCACGCTGGCGGGTTGGAATACAAACCGACCGAGCCTGCTAGAGAATGTGAGTGAGGACCAGCGAGCGAGGACGCCGAAGGAACTGGGAGCCAACGCACATCCATACGGAAAGACATTGGGGTTATTGTGGATGTCAGCCGAAGACCAGCTGGCGTTCAACACCGGCATGCCACGCGTCCCACGAGAAGTGAAGCACGGCACGCGGATACCGACGAAAAGGGAAGCCTTAGGAGCGGTGATGTCATTGTTCGACCCGCTCGGGCTGCTGAGCCCTTACATCATCACGGCAAAAATCATCTTGCAGGCGCTGTGGGTGCAGAAGGTCGAATGGGATGACTCTCTGCCCGCCGAGGAAGCGCGGATGTTCCAGGAATGGAGAGATGACTTAGCCTATATAGAGGAACTGAGATTGCCGCGATGGTATGGCACGAACGACAGCCAACGGTCGCAACTGCACGTATTAACGGACGCAAGCGAACAGGCATATGCCACAGCCGCGTATTGGAGGACGGAACGCGAGGATCGTAGCGTTAACGTCGTCCTGGTAGCAGCCAAAGCGAGGGTAGCGCCCATGAAAGCGCAGAGTATACCCCGGATGGAGCTTCAGGCGAGCCTGGTAGGACCCCGACTGGCCGCTGACGTACTGAAAGGACGTCGTCGCGCGGCTGAAGTCTTCCTATGGACGGTCTCGAAGAAGACGCTACATTGGACTAGGAACGACATAGATTAAAAAAAAAGTAACCGCTCGATACAATCCACACGCGGCCCGCCGGATGGCAGAAAGCGCCGAACATACAGAACCAACACAGTGGCGCTGGGTACCGACCGCCCACGACGTAACTAACGACGCGACCCGCGCGAGATATACAATACGGACCGCCGCCGACAGATCCGTCGGGCCGGCGCTTGTATACGCTCCAGAGAAAGAACGACCCAAGGAAAGCAAGCCCGTCCCTGCAGAGACGGTAGCCCGTGCCCGGGCGAAGGCAAAGCCCGTAATGGACAGAACGCGGTTCTCCTCATATGACCGAGTGAGGAGGACCCCGGCACAGGTGCTGCTGCTCGCAGACGAATGCAGGCGACGGGCATGGAAGCTGGGCCGGGAGCGCCCTGCCGAAGCGGGGAAATGGGTCAAGTGGCGTTGCGGTGAACGCGGACGGACGGACAGACGCGAGGGAATTTTTCGAAGGCCGACCCGAAGGCTGGTGGTCCTCCCTAGGGATAAGGGCTGCGAAGATCTGCGCCGGGGGGAGGCTGTTGCGGACCACGAGTCGGCATCGAAAATATGTAAATAAATTTGTGTATAAATTTGTATTTTTCCAGTGTTTTGACTATTGTTTAGGTTAGACTATTGTTTGTACCATATACCCTTTGTAGCGGCATAGATACTGTGAATTCTATGTCCGCCCATTGTGTAAATTCTTAGGGATCACAGCTTTAGTGTAGCCTGAACATGTGGCATTTAGTCGCACGTGGTTTTTTGTAGTTTTTTGTATTGTTACTATTGTATTTAATTTTAAATGTGTGCGTATTCGCTGTTCCGGCCCGTCGGTCACCGACATGTGCAGGAATTGTCGGGAGGGTGGGACGGCCGACGCGCACAGCTCGGCGGGGGTGGGGAAGGACGCGCTCGGGCGCCCGTAAAAGGCGGGTTGGTTCTCGATCGCGCTCTCTTACGCATACGCCACCGACGAAGAACCACCGCCGGCGCAACGACCAAGAAAACCCCACTCCGGCCGGCCGACCCATAGAATAAGAAACAAATTGAAATACAGTCCACATATTTTGAAAATCGAAGACCTTTTAATTGTGTACCCCACACGCATATTATTTATACTTTTTCAGATGATAATGCGTCCTGTCTTTTGTGATAAGACTGTCCTCGGTGTCATCTATATCGCCATTGAAGTCAGATATTCTGTAAAATATGTAGAAAATATATTAAATATTCATTTTTTTTATGTAACTATATATGCACAAAACAATGTGTCCGCAATCCGCAAACATATGGCGGACTTAACATTTTGCGGCGTTATCTACCAGTCAACCATGAGTAGTGCAGAGAAAAATTTGGTGGTGGTGCACTAATATTAATGAGAAATGTAATATAAGGTAAAATATATATAAATTTCTATAATAATATAATATACATACATAAATATATAGCTAAATATTATATATAAATAAATACTCAATGATCTGATAAACAAATTCTAAGTAAAGCCACAGCTAGAAAGTAAGAAAATATATATATATGAAGCAACAAAACAAAGATTAAAATTGTATAGAGAAAACTAAACGGAAATAACAGAAAAATATAAAATAATAATAATAATATAATAATAATCTCAGGACAAATATATATATATTATATATACATAGAAAATACCCAGACCTATACAAACAATCATACTCATGAATACAAATGTTTTATCCTTGCGAGAAATCGAACCCGCGACCATCGGACGTAAATTGCGGTGTGCTGGACCGCTAGACCACCGAGATCGTCAAAATAAGGAGAAGTACAGTAAAAGAGAAGTTACAAATTTAAATGATATTCATTTCACATATCGAAATTAGAAGAATCGTATGGCGCGGTGGTATCACTTTATCAATGAACCATGTGATGAATGATGTGATGTGATGTCGCTACATCTTACTAATATTATAAACGCGAAAGTTTGTGAGTATGGGTGTATGTTTGTTACTCTTTCACACAAAATCTACTGAACGGATTTTGATGAAACTTTACAGTAATTTACAGAAAGAAAAATATTTTATTCACTGCAATGTAAAAAATACAATATAAATAACAAACGGAAAAATATAATAGAGCATCTAGGTAGTGATTATATCAGTGAAATAATTTATTGTACATTAGTAAGTTTATTTGATAGTATGCTACATGGCTTATTAGTAACGCGTACATTCGACGCGGAGTCGTAATGTGGACTGACTTTACACTGAACTTAAATCTGTGTTATCTGGAGAGATTCTAATGAAAGGATCTCGAATGTTGACATAAATTTTATAAGTGTAAGCACAATCGCAATATTGTGTATAATATATAATAATAACAAATTATTAATAACCATTAATAATTTGTTTTGTATGACTAGAATCGTTATTCTATGCCTCAATTGGAAAACATAAAAATTTAACATTTTCTGAGAGTTTAGTGAAATTAATTCGTATATGAGTAAATATGTAACACATTTTAATTGTTATGTATTTATCTGCAATTGAAATGGTATGTTAAGCATTTTGATTTATAATTACTGATTAATTAAACTCATAACTATGCATATTATAATGTTACTTGATATATTTACAAACATTACTTACATTTTCATTCTATACCGGCATTCCATTTGAATTTTCAACGTTGTAATTTGGTACAAATAAAATAAAATCAATCAATTATTAAATAATTCATGTAATTTAATTACAACAAGAGCAATTATCGATTTATTTCAATGCCGATAATGTATGTTTGGATGAATGGATCTGAGGAATCTCAATCGAGTATCGGGAATTGTTTTCAACAATGACTTTTATTCCATACAAAATTGGAGTGTCTATTTGTAATATTGAAATAACATTTTTTTACAATTTTTATCTGTCTGTTTGTTCCGCCTAATCTCTGAAATAGCTGGACCGATTTTGACGTTCCTTTTATTGGCACGTAGCTGTTGTTATAAGGAGTAACGAAAGCTACATTTATTTTAGAAAAATAAAGTTAAATTCTATATCTATCTTTCTTATAATATAATTATTATTACATACAATTATCTTAACTATTGGTTAATAATATATATATATATATAATTGGAGAAATCACATAGCGCCATCTAGTCCCAAACTAAGCAGAGCTAGTATTATGGATAATGGCACCTTAGATAGTTATAGATATAACTTTATTTGCGTTAAGGGGTACACACAATGTATGTACAGTAATATAAATAAAAAAAGTATATACGCAACTACATTGCTCAGGTAATAATATACAATGTAGGTAGAAGTTTCTGACTTAGTGTGTGCATGGTCTACACAGAAGGCAGCATCTCAGTGTATTGTTTGCTCGAGCAGCAGACCATTGATTTTCAGATATTGCCCAGGGACATACGTGTATAACAAGACCAAACCTGATGACAAATCTCATTGAGACCCATGCAGTTTGTCAGTATGAGTTAATTTCTCATCAAAAATTAAGTAATCATTATATTACACGTAAAGCAAAAACTTTGTACCCCTTTTTACGGAAAAAAGTACATTAAATCAATAAAAAAAACACTACCATGTACTTGACAAACATATGCATATATACTCTTTTGTTTAATTGTTATTTCTGCTTCAAAGAGCCTTTTTTATTTTTTATTATGACCGAATTTCGACCATTCCCCCAATGGTTGAAATTCGGTACCAGTAGTTTAAATAAAAATCTTTTTTATTAATTTTTAAAACTAGTACAAGACGATTAATTCTTTATGGCTGGAAGGAGTCAAAGAACAAAGTGCAAACTGAATCAGCAAATCAAATTTGCTATCGGAGTTGCTTAAGAATTTTATTTATAGAGATACAAAATTATGGATGCGCCAACGATGCTTATTTAAAATGTCTCTGAATTTAAGTTAATTATGATATGCAGTTTTTTTATTGAGGGTTTTGGCTATTGTCAGGTGTTACGACCTGTAGCACTGCGACCTACATAGGTCTATTGTGCTCGCCCTTTTTCAATGTTCTCTGCCTAGACCTGTTAGGGAGAAGAATTGAAGGTTATACTTAGGAACGATGGTTTTTATCTCCTCAGGATAGAGAGTATATACTTTCCAAAGGAAATATTTCGTTTCTGAATGAGTGGGTTACAACCACATAGGATGTGTAGTGGCGATTCTGCTTGGCAAAATCTGCAGATTGGTGTTATGTAGTTATTAATTATTATACATTTGAAGCAATTGTTATTATAGTTATAATATATAATAGCTGACAAATTATATTAACTTTTTTTATTTTATTGGAATGGAAAAAAAAGCTGATGGCATGTGGTAATCGTTGCCTATGTAATTGTAATGAATATGCTTGTTTTCATTATATTGTCATGCCTCTGTACCTTATAATTTCACCGGCGCATGATCACGTTAGTTTGGCTTATTGTTTTCTTTACCTAAAAGTGCACCTATAAACTATAGTATAAGGAGCCTTGTCACTGGTAAATAAAGATTATTATTATTTTTACTCGTTCTAATCACCCTCTGACATACCTGAGTTGAATACATTAAACCATTTCCAGCGTAACATCTCTGTGAAGCGCAGCATCCACTCTGTATTCTGTACAAAAGTGTACAAAATTAAATCGGAATCAAAGTCAACAGGGACTGGCCCTCGCTTAATTTCGGTTGACATTCTTAATAATCGCTTCGTTTACGCGTCGATGTCGAGTTGACATTGTTTCTTTTGTATTGCAGTGTTTTACGTAGTTCCTAATATCTTAATATTCTGTGTATTAAACTATATATAAAGGATCTCTGTCTGTACAAAAAATATATTAATGATTGGTGGCATTTGGGGACTATAAGAGGGTAAGTGAAAATTTGCGAGTGACATGTACTTCAAGATTTAAGGCTGCACCGAGCCATACAAAACAATTCACAGCACAACACAATTTCTAAAATTACTAATTAAACTCGATTAAAATTTTATAGTGTCTTATAAAATTTTTATCGAGTTTAA